TCTACAACCATATTTTGCGTATACCCGGGGCGAATGGCGATATCTTTCGTCGGCCTTTGCAGCGTGTTTTTGAAACTATTTACATTCCACTAAAAATTGGTGGGACTGCCGCCTGCGCGGATTACAAAAGCAGTACAACAGGAAGAGCCCTGGAGTAGGCCTCATAATGGAAAAAAGGCTTCCTCGAAGGACATTGTTGAGGTGTGCCCCAGACTGCTTTTCATTCTCTATCGTACAGTGTCTAAATCTTTACAACTCTTCTTTGGCAACCGGTTCCTGGCCTTTGAATCGTCTCAAGATGTTCGACCGAGAAGTCAAATCATCGATTTTCTCCGGCGCCAAACCCCCCTTCTTGATCAGACCTTGCAACCTGGCCAGCTCTTTCTCCGCATATCCAGCGTTCTTGCCGAGCTTCTCCGAGACCTTGACGTAGTATTCCGCATACTTATCCTTCGATGCCTTTGCAGAAGCTGTGATCTGTTCCGAGAGACTGGCAATACTTTCGCCACCAGTAAGCCTGCTCACGATGGTGTCCAGACTTGGGATCGTGCCAGCAATTTCATCCAGCTTGCCGCCAATCGTGCGGTGAACGCCGGCCTTCTCGTTCATGAATGAAAGAATATCCTGCTCGGTTCGACCGCCTTCGTATGGCTCAGGGGTGGTAGAACCCTTGGGGAAGTATTTGATAGTAGGGTATGACTTGACGCCTTGATCTTGAGCTGTAGCTTTCGAGTTTTCGGCTTCAGCATCGACCTTGGCGATCAAGACATCGGGCTCCGAAGCGTAGTCGGTTGCTACTTGTTCCCAAACTGGCGCTAAGCTCTTGCAGTCTGCGACAAGGTCAGCAACGTCGGGCTAAACATAATCCAGAGAATGACTTCAACATACGTCCACACCATGGTGCAGTGAAGGCCACCAAGACATCCTTATCCCCTCCAATTTCAGCCTTGAAAGATCTGTCCGTAAGCATCTCTACGGCGCTTGGAGCTGCTTTCTTTGTCTTGATCTTGAGGCCCGTCTTCTCGGAGATAAAGCTGGAAAGACTCTCCAAGTCCCGGCCACCCTGGTAGTCTGTAGGCGTATCACTCTTGCCGTCGAACCACTTCAGTGTGGGAAAACCCTGTACACCAAATTTCCTTCCGAGGTCCTTCTCTGCATCGGCGTCTACCTTTGCAATTGACACCTTGTCTTTGGCAAACTCAAAATTGGTAGCCAATTCTTCGTATATGGGGGCTAGCTTCTTGCAGTGACCGCACCAAGGGGCGAAGAACTCGACCAGTGCTGGTTTGCCTGATTTTAGAACGATGTCATCGAAATTGTCTGGGACGAGGTCGAGGACAGAGGAGGCTGCATTGGCGCCCAGGAGAGCAAAAGCGGATAGGAGGAGGTAGGTCAGTCTAACCATGATGGCAGTTGTATGAATAAATGCTGTTTAGGCGTGGTGGTTAAAATGATTCTTCGACTGCGTGTTGATCGAGAGAGAGGAGAGGTATACGTAAAACCTGGTTGATCACGAAAAGTAGTATCTTTAGTAATAAAGTAAAGTACCGGCACCACCGGTAAGGACACAGTAGCGGAAACCTTTAGTGGCGCGGCAGAACCGCACCACTGAAATTTGCCACCGATCAGATTTCAGTACTTTGCCAATCAATCGACGCATACGGAGACGACTGTTCTCACATACGAGTGAACACTACAAGGCCGGATATATTGCGCATCGTCTTAAGCCACAGCAACATGTGATGAGTTCTTCGATTTACCATCCAATACAAGCGTGAGTTTGACCATGACCAGATCGAAGCCAGTAGGGCTGCTCTCACACAACGTCAACCTTTGCCTGACATACCATTGTATCTACATGTATACTTACCATCACTGTCAGCGAAGTCTTTCAAGCTGTCAATTCAGCGTCCCGTTGATCGGACGCACACATACCGGCAAAGTGACAAGTGATGGATTACCATTTGCATGCTTTGGCCTTTGCGTAAGAAGCACATGCACACACATGCCAAGCTTATCTCACCTCCCTCATTTCCTCTGAGATAGCCAGGTATCGACTTCATCCCAGATGTCGGTATCTTTCAACTTGTTACCAGCTACCTTGACTCCTTGGTAAACCTAGAGACAAAATAAGCGTCACTCATGATCCATACCTACTTGACTCGTTCACTCACTGCATCCCAAATACGGAAAGCATCGTCTAAGCTGCCGCTGAAATCGCCGTGCATAATCCACTCTTGTCCTTTCTTTTTCACTTCGGCCCGAGTACTCCCCGATGTAGGGTCTGAGTAGTTGCACAAGTCATCCAGAAAATGCATTGTCAAGACCCCGAGAGCGCATGACTGCTCTTGGTAGAATGGCAAGCTGTACGAGCATTAGGAAATGATGTCACAATAAATGCCTCAGGTCAGTAGACGTACCCGAGAGAGATATCCGCCCAGTCGTTGCGGTCTCTATCAACGAGTCCCTCCAAGAACATGGCCGCAACGATCATCTCTAGCAAATCACGCAGGCTTGTGTGCACATTCGACACGATAGAGTGGTAAGCGAGCATGTGTCGACTCAAGGGACCACTATAGCCCTTGGCCGAATGGCGAATCTTGCCGAGACAAGCAACGCGGGACACCAGCATGGCATTGCGCTTGTCAATATCTGGTGTAATCATTAGCAATAGTCAGCCTGTCCACTTCAAGCATCGGCACCGACTTGATCCATTCCCCGGTGCACCACCATAACCTAAAAACATGGTGTCCGGATTAATGAGCTCAAAACGCATCAGCTCTACTGCAATTAGCGCAGCCTCTTCCTCGTCTCTCCTCGTGCCTGACGCCGACCAAACAGCTTCCAATACTTTGCCCCACTCTGTAAGCTGGTGCTGCTCGTTCAGGTAACCTCGTAGCTGAAGCAAGCGCCAAACTGCGTTTGCGAGTATCTCATCGCGGTGCTTCAAGGGCTTGGCACAATCAGCGCCTCGTTCAAACTTCAATAATACGATTCTCACCTCTTGTCCAGCCTTTGGCTTTTGCGTGACTGTCTTCGCAGCAAACTCGGGATTCTCCAAGCTCAGGATCGCAAATGAGAGAGTACCTGCTGGCAAGTCTTCTGTGGAATACTAGAGTAATATTTAGCTTGGAAGATCACTGCAGGTGAAAATTCATGTACCCCTGCTATGAGATTGTTCTTGACGTTCCACTTCGACAGCAAGTCCCGAGGAGAGGATACATCCCTCATGTTGAACCTCCCCTCGTAGGTAGGGTCAAACAAAAGGCTTGTCGTAATATCTCTCGAATGATAATACCGATGTATTGGCTCAGTCAAAAGCGATAGTGCCTGCCTCCTCAATGGGTCCAGCTGAAACTTCACAAGATCTTGATAAGGTCGACCATCACCGCCTGAAAGAGGCTGTATGATAGAGATCTTGCCAGAGGTCAACCAGTTGAGGACCCTTGGACGAAGCATACCACGAGAGAGATACATGTAGAGTTCTTCGGGTAGACGTAGGCTAATGCACTCATGAGCATCATCGGGAGCGTGGTCCTTGCCTAAGATCTCAACATCTCCTTCATCGGTCATTATGATGTGGTGTCTGATTCTTGTCAAGGCCCTCTTGTACTGGTCCAAGTAGACCCCTTTTACAGCAGGATCGGTAGAATACTGTGCACACAAGCGCGCAACACTACCTCCACACGATGTGAGCATGTCGACAACGTTGCGCATACTGAATGGTTTGCGGTAGACAGTTTCGTTTTCTAAAGGTGGGAATTCGGGGAGAAGGCCGGAACCAGCCAACATGAGAGAATCGGAGAAAACATTCACAGAAATATTACCGAGCGCTGCAAGACAGTCTCGTCGATCGATCCATTGAAATCTTGCAAGCTCAAGGACAGGAGACTCCGGTTTGTTCTTCTCGGCCACGTGCTGGCTATCATCGGTGATCTCGAATTTAGTGATGAGCTTGTCAATGCCGAAGCAAAAGAGCTCCGATGGGCCGTACACGGCATCGATGAATTGACTTGGGTGATTATCGTAGTATACAAGCTACAGATGGTCAGTATTGCTTGTACGCATAGACCAACCAAGCGTACCTGAGCTAGTGCGCTATAAGGTGCGACGGTGAAAGGTACGCCTTGCTCATGAAGCGTCTTTTTCAAGATTTTGGACAGCGCCGAGGGATAACAGTGACCTGATTAACAGCTAAATACTATTTCCAACGTGGAAGAATTGATCAGAGCATACCTGAAGCCTTAAACACGTCTCTGGCCTGTTTGCCTTGTTCGGTTTCATAGAGAGTGAAAGCCTCACTGGCCAAGTGGGCAGCTCTTGCGGAGCTTGCAACTGGATCACTTCCAACGCCAGATTCCAAGCCGTTGAAAACAAAGTGTATTTTCAGTCCAGCATCTTGCAAATGCTTCACGGCGTTGATTACGGTCGACTCGAAAGCCAGGGGAGGCCCTCCCAGCGCGGACAATAGGGGATCTTTGTTCAGACTTTGTATGTAGTAGGCAGCATCGATGCCTATGACACGATCTTGAAGGAATTTCAGATCGAAGGACTTGGCGATACCTTTCTCTGCCGCCCAGACATCAAAAGCTACGACTAAAGAAAGGTTAGCTTTAACGGCAAATTCTGTCTTGTGTGTAAGAGCTTTGCTTACCACCCATCGTCAAGATAAGGAAAGAAGACAAAAGGAATGTGTAAAAATTTAGATGGACGGCCTCCACCAAGCGCCCTTCACCTGCTTCAAGGACACGGTGTGTTCGTAGAGTAGAGACAAGCTGCTAGAGGTCTCGGAATATCTCTGGGCCTCGCGCGCGGAATTGAATTCGGACCCGGCGCTAAGCCCTACGATACTTATAGAGCCTATAGTAAGGTACAGGACAGGAAAAACCGTTTCCCGTACAGCTGTCGGATTTGGATATGCGACATCACTTAGGGTAGACGATACCCAGACGAACACTCTATTTCTCTCAGACCATTGCCCTGAGTTGGCTCAGGGAAACATGGATGCCAGACGGAGCAATGGTTCAAGCCTACAGATCCCAGTCATTGACATATCCGAAGCCAGTGCAGCGGACACAGCGGGCCAGCTAGTAGATGCGGTTGCTCGATATGGCTTTGTGTTTGTCAGGGGTGAAGGAATAGGTTTCACGAAGCAGACTCTTGATAATGCCTTTGCATTGGTCAGACCGAAGCAATTACTAGATGTACAGACAATCCTAATGATGTGGATAGTCACAAAGATTCTTCTCATCAACCATAGAAGAGAAACAGGAATGTGCTATCCAAGACAATGTAAACCCCTTCCGCTATTGAGCTTCCCTATAACTGAGCTCGTCTCTCACATACTGCCAGAATATCGGTTGGTCGTCAATGCACTCAGAAACATTGGACCCAAAGACCCGTACGTTATACTTTCCGAGGCGATTCTTCCCCGTTGACGCTGTCCAATAAGTCATCAGACATATCTAAAGAGTTCTCTGCTCCTAAGACATGTCTCGCGACTTAGGATTCCTCTCGAAAGAGTAAGGCTGACTTCGAAACCATCAAGAGAAGGTACTTGGGTTTTTCAACCGTACAAGACATCGCTAATCCCTACAGCGTGGAGACTTCAAAGAGTTCTCTTCCAAATCCCGGGGTTCAGTGCCGTAACCACTGACCATTGTTGACTAGAGCAATGAACTTTGGCGAATTTACCGATGGCAAAGCACAACAGCCTTTACCGCCATCTCTTGCTTCACATGAAGCCGAGCTATATCATTTCGGAGTACTTTGTCATGAGCTCTGCATTAAGCTCCTGCGCCTCTTTGCTCTTGGTCTCAGAGTATGAAACTGTGTGCGGCTCCTTGATTTGCCCCTGCCTGACTAGACCCAGATCGATCCCAACCATGGTGGCAAGGATTGGTTCTCGTCTCGACATGATCCATCTCAGGGCTCTTCCGGCAGCGTACTTCGGTTGCTTCATGTGTGTGCGTCCCTATGTGCAACAGGTGAGAGCTGATACCAAGGTGCGCGATTTCTGCAGTATCCCGCAGTCGAAATGGATAAATCTTTGGACACTACCGTCGACATCCGAGCCGGAGCTCACAGCGATTATGGTAAGCGCCAGTGTTTCAGACGATTCAAAGAGAAGAATGACTTCACTAAAGGCATAGGTTCCCTCACCCTTCTTTTCCAGCGCGCCTCCCAGCCAGGCCTCGAGATCCTTACCCGAAGTTCGTTCTGGTCTCCCGTACCTATACAACCATCTGGCACAGAAGATGACTCCTATCCACCGATCCTCGTTAATATTGGGGATTTGATGCATTTCTGGACGAATGGACTGCTTAAGAGTACCGTGCACCGAGTTGTCTTCCCAGAAGGGGAGAGTGAAGATAGGTATAGTATAGCATACTTTTGCCATCCTTCGGACCATATCGAGATAGAAGCTGTCCCGAGTGACATGATACGTGACAGAGAAACGGAAAAGAGGCAGCAAGGCGTGAAGACGGTGACCGCAGAGGGCTATCTGAAAAAAAGGCTCGCGGAGACGTACGGGTGGGGAAAATTGCAGTCGCCAGAGCGTGACTAGCGAATAGAATACTCGAATGTCTAGATGAACACACTCAGATTTCCAGTCTTTGGGTTTTTGACAGAAGTTTGAGACTCGGACTTATTGCGTACTCCTGTGAACAGGTCTCATTACAGCATATCCTATCTGAATATCTTGAAAAAGAGCCACTGGTTTGAAAGAATTTTTTCTCAACTATGGCGTGCTGCATAGGATGAGGGCCCATACTATAGTAAATACAGAATTCGGACATGAAAGAGACCTTTGGGGCCGCTATTAAACAATTGACGCCCTCTGCAGACTTCCACACTTCGTAGCGGTCATGCATCCCGGAGCGTAGGGTATGTATTATGCGGGAGGGTATAATCAACCGACAAAGGTAGACATGCAAAGGCTAAGAATAAATGGTCCAAACGCCGTGTCTTTTCCGTAAGACCGTCAACAGGTCGTTGATCGCTAGTGAGGAGCACAAAAAGTTCGTGACAAGTTTGCCGGGTAACATGGGTCGTGAGATTGTTGGGGATATCGAAGTCGATTCATGATGCTTGGTATAGCGTGTCGCTGATGAGAAGATAGTGCCGTAAAAGAGAGACTCGTGGATGACCTGATCAACCGCACCTAACGCCCAGGGGCCCAAGAAATACCGCTTGCAATACTGGATGCCGCTAACTTCAAGAAGGAGGTCGAACGCAATCGAATGCAAGGAGATCGATAGGAGTGAGGTCTGGGTCACTGCGCCGCCACTTGGCACCAATGTCGATGATAAACCTTCGGGAATTCAGAGTCAGCATGTTCTCTTCGGAGCAGGAACCTGAGTAATGAGACAGTGTTGTGGGGGTTAAGCAGGAATTGGCCCCCCCTCCCCTTATGTGTCTTGTGGCTCGAGATTCTACACCAACTCGGAGACGAAGAATTTGATTTGTACATACCCAAGCATTTTTCTGGCACTCTTTGCTGCAATATTTTGTGCGGCGGCAGCGACGGCACTTGGCAAATTGCCTAGTCCATTGCTCCCATCTCCCACACTCATAGTAAGCACATTGGCGTATGCCACCACGAGCGTCGTCCTTGCGGCACAAATTTCGCATCACGACGCCAGCCCAATGCTGCATATCTTGCGAGTGATGGCGGACAGTGAATTTCTCAACAAGCGGGAATATGTTGAAGTCGTCTGAAAGCAGATACTCCTCTTCGTCAGAGTTATCACTTTCCTGGCAATCGCTTGAATTATTCTCATCCAAGGCATTGAGGTTATTGCCAATCTTCAATTTAGGAACAAGATGAGATTGTTGAAAATACGTCCTGAGATTACAGTATTTTGATACGTAGGCAAGAAGCTGTAGCGACATCAACACGTCCTCATCCCGGGGGGTGGCGGCCAAAATGCCTGGAGGCGCAGATCGATCGAGAAGATAGCGTGCATGGGTGTTCTGTGCTAGAGCTTGGTTTGCTACGTTCACAACCCCCATTGGCTGTGGAGCTTGTGGAAAGCCGATATTGTTATTAGTCGGAGTTACGTTGGCGTTTATGATGCTTCCATCATTGGCAGACGGATGGGTGATGTTGAAAGTTTGCGCTTCTTGACCTTCCGATACAGCATTTGGGGCTGTGAGACCTAAAGTTGTCGTGACAGCATCGAGCATTGGATCCTCATCTTCAGCTTCCTGGATATCCACAGCTGCTTGAATGTCTATCATGGGATCATCAAGGTTCTCGTTGGTCCCAGACGCTTCAGAAACAGCTTCATCCCCATTGGCATCATCAGAGTCGCCGGAGTTGGACTGCTGTTGGCGTACAGATGGTCTTCGTCTGTCCCTGGTACCACGCATTGGTGGACGGATTGATGGTGCATTTGGAGTAGTTGGAGATTCTGGCTGCGAAGTGATGCCTGTCTGGAGAGCAGGTAGAGCAGGTAACATAGATGGTAGTCGGTCAACGTCGCGCACGGGGCGAAGTCCGAATCCCTCACCCGGTTCCATTGGGGGTACAGCTGCGGCTATTGACTGCATCGAATTGTGTCTGCTACCGCTCGTACTCCCTCCATGAACATGGTGCCTACCGTCTTGGCTCCTATGGTGGTAATGGTGGTGATGGTGGTGATGATGGTGGTGATGTCGCGTAAATGTAGTCCGTTCGGGGGTCGTAATCGTCGTAAATTGAGGCAGCGTTGGAGTCAGATCCATAGCCGTAGCATCGGGAGCCTGGTGCAGGTGGTGTTGGTGTTGCTGCTCGAAATTGGGCGGAGACAGAGGCTGTGGTATTTCTATTGCTGGTGGAGGCTCATGACGACGAAAGGGTCTGTTGTCAGGCAACACATTGACCCGTTCTTGGAAAGTTTGCCGTTCGAAAGTGCCTGTGGGAGAAGCTATGGATTTCTGCTGGCACTTTCGTGGTTGTGGGATCTGCAACGGTGTCCGCCTTTTTGCTTCGTTTTCGGCCTTTTCCCGACACTTGTCAATGACCTTGATATAGTTGTCAAGTATCGTTGCGATGACAGGTACCATGTCAGCTTCGACAACCCTCGTTCGAACACTCTCTGAACCACGGACACCAATGTTGACAACGCATTGAAAAGCTAGGTTCCATTTCCACATCTCCATCATTTCCTGGCTCCTGCCCTGCTTCAGAATGCATACTAACCTCTCCACACCGCCATCGATGGTGAGGATGTCTCTTATCCTCGCAGAAGATGTCGTGAGGTATGCAAGATGGTTGAGCGAGTTGATCAATGGCAGAGTTGAGGTGCAGTCGAGAGCTCGACGGTCGTATAGGGCAGTGGTAATGCCTACCGACGCTTTATTGACATTCGGGATACTGAAGTTGACTTCCCTCATCTTGACAGAGTATAGAGGGTGGTCACGCCGACTGTTCTATTCGTTGGGTTGGTATGGCGCTTGGGATAAAGAAGAATGGATGGAAGTGACGGAAATGAGGGGGTCGGGAGCAATGCGGGAAAACGAGCACGAGTTGGCGACTTGCTACAAATTATGTATGTTGTTGAGCGATGCTTCGTGCAGTCTTGAAGTAGAGGCTCAATCAAGTGCAGAAGTTCAGACGGAGCTTGCTGCTGCCATGTCGACTAAAAGAATCTTGATCAATAAGCAGAGAAAGAGGCAATACCGCTCGGGCAGAGTGCACGCGCTGCTCCGCTGATTCGCGAGCAAAGCAACGAATGCAACGCAAATAGGTCGTAGAGCTGGGGCGAAAGAGGATTGAATGCTTTTCAAAGCAAGATGTTGTTGATGGAGAAGGGGGATGAATTTAATAATGGAGAATGGTAGTCGAGAGTTTGCGGCAGGAGATTTGCTTTAGCGCGCTCTCAGAGTGCTCCGCTTCGCATCGAAGTCGTCTCGATCGACAGACGTTCTCGAAGGCAGACGCCCCATCCTCTTTTTGTCTCATGTGCCTCTCGAACTTTCGGTGAGGATTATTATCTACCCTGCTGTATCCAACCTCCTGATGTCTAGACAATCCCTTTACAGATCCTCAATCTTATGTCTAGCTCGATTGTCTCCTCTCATTAGCGATACTACTGTATCTACCAGTGATTTCTATTCTTTGCCAGTGCTTTAATCTGCGGATACCTGGCATTTGTCTCCTTTCCATTCACTTGGCCGCAAGATGTACAGCTTTTCAAAAGCCTTTCGTCTTAGTCTTGGGCATACGTGTCTATGGTATATGCTTTGCAGACTATGGACAACCACTGCCCACACAGTTGCATCTTATTGTACCGCCACCAGCTGAGGCACGCGATGCTCCTTAGCGACTGGGAGAAGACCACCAAAAACCTGGGGGAATACCATGTCGCCCTAAGAGAGCCGGTTCTGTTCCACCGCATTCTCAAGAGAAGCAAGAAAAGTGGAAAAGAGTGGAACACGTCTAAATGCTGCAGTCCTTCACACCCCAAGATTTCAATCCATGCCCCCCTGCTTCACCGTATCAATCCACGCTTTCATCCTCTCACTCTTCACTCGGCGCCAGATGCAAATCCGCTTTGCACTTAGCCCATCATTCCAAAATTTGAACATGTCATAGTGGCTTTCACCAATGTCCAGTCCTATTGCGAAGACGCGGAGCTTTATGACGGAACGCGCTAGACTCCAGTGAGACACTGTGTGGACTGCGTGCTGCTTGAGCGACCCCCAATGGCCGAATGGGCTTCAGTCCGAAAGGCAATCCGTCATGGTCGAATTGCGGAACGTGTGGACACGGTCATTCACACTGCATACCCTCGCCCTTCCAGAGATGACTTTCCATCTCAGACGTTCCGCAAGCCTGTGACCGCAAGTCGTCTTCCTTGTTGGGACTCGTGTTGCTTTGGCAAGTGAGCGATATTATTCCACTTGAATATCGGTCGAAGACCAGGCAGGGTCATACTTAGACGAAGCTCTGTTTGGAAATCATAACAGAAGCACCTAAAGCGGAGATAAGTAAGGGTCAAAGTTTTCAGTCCTTTGGCCGTCAGAGGTTGTGGAAGGTGTCTTGAAAGAAGCAAAGATTGGAAGCCGTTGACGAAAGAAAGGCGAAACCCGAGTAGCTGGAACTGGAAGACGGTAAGTAGTAGATCCCATCATCGAGGCTCGGACCCATGGCCCCGCCCTTTTATTTTCATTGGTCTCCCTCCCAGTTTCTATTTTAGCAGTCAAATTGTCATGCAGGAGAAGCGGCTAAGGCACTTGGTGGGATGGTGATCGAAGGCCAGGCTTTCTACCGAGTCGCCTCGCACAGCTCGTAGTAACTACTCGTAAATGAATTTCCCTACGCCAATATATGCCTGCCAATGACATGTTCCTTTTTATGAATTCGATTTCCCCTCTGCTTGGTAGACTCGTATATCAAGGTGGGTTTTCGTCGTAAGAATCGTTGTCATCGTCGTCATCATAATCGGAAGAAAGGTGGGAGAAAGGCTGGGCAGTGGGCAGTGGGCAGTGGGCAGTTCCTCGTCTTAGAGCCTCGGCTAGCTGCGCTAGTTCTACACCCAATTGGAACTCCCGCCCTGCTCCTTCCTTCTGGAAACGACGCAAGTCGCAAAACCCACTTCTTACCCCAACTCATCGGCCACGCAACCAGCTGTCAGCGACAACAGACATCGTCACACTGCCGGCGCTTTTTCAAAGACATATCCATATATGAAATTCTCCTTCTAGCCTCAGCTTTTCCTACCTGTCTTGTGGTCGCAATCCGTCGGGGCCGTAAACCTGGTGTTGGCCTTTCAAACCCCCTACTGTCCCCTCGACTCCCATCCCACCAATCACGGTCATTGTCTCCTCACATCGCGAAAACGTCTCCTTCCTCAGGATAGTCGCTTTCAACAATGTCCGAAATGTCTGGGGAGCAGATGCAGGCAAAAATCGCTGCTGCACGACGCGATGCGGAAAGTCTGAAGGACAAAATCAAGCGCAAGAAGGAAGAACTCGCCGATACCTCATGTGCGTCGAAAGCTCCTGCCTGCATCGAGCGCAGCATTTCTATACCTCCACTCAACTCCTGAACTCCTAAACTCCTAAAATCCTTCTTTCGCATGATGGGCGGCATGGACTGACTATTACCCGAACAGTGCGAGGAATAGCACAAAGCAATACCGATGCGTTGCCGCGGATTGGCATGAAGGCTCGCAAGGTCCTCAAAGGTCACTTGGCCAAAATCTACGCTATGCACTGGTCTACAGATCGTAGACATCTAGTCTCTGCTTCACAGGATGGTAAACTTATCATTTGGGATGCTTACACAACAAACAAAGTTCATGCTATACCCCTTCGATCCTCGTGGGTCATGACATGTGCATATGCTCCCAGCGGAAACTACGTTGCTTGCGGCGGACTGGATAATATCTGCTCAGTCTACAACCTCTCTTCACGGGAGGGACCTACTCGTGTTGCCCGCGAGCTCTCAGGCCACTCTGGCTACCTTTCCTGCTGCCGATTCATCAATGACCGTCGAATCCTTACTTCTTCTGGCGACATGACATGTATGCTGTGGGACGTCGAGACCGGCTCGAAAGTCACAGAATTTGCCGATCATCTAGGAGATGTCATGAGCATCAGCATAAACCCCACAAATCAACATGTCTTCATATCTGGAGCATGCGATGCCTTCGCCAAGCTCTGGGACATCCGCACAGGAAAAGCCGTACAAACATTCGCAGGCCACGAGTCAGATATCAATGCAGTGCAATTCTTTCCTGACGGTCAGGCCTTTGGTACTGGTTCCGACGATGCTACCTGCCGTCTATTCGATATTCGCGCAGATCGAGAAGTCAACACGTACGCCAGCGACCAGATCCTTTGCGGCATCACGTCTGTTGCCTTCTCAGTCTCTGGGCGTCTACTATTCGCAGGTTATGACGATTTTGAATGCAAGGTTAGTTTGATTATTATTGGTGGTCAAAATTCGCTCAAGAAGCATACAATACTGATGCCTGTTGCCAGGTTTGGGATGTGCTCCGGGGTGACCGTGTGGGCAATCTTAACGGCCATGAAAACCGAGTGAGCTGTCTGGGTGTGAGCAACGATGGAATGAGCCTGTGTACTGGATCTTGGGACTCCACCGTAAGTTCACTCATTCTGAGAAAATGACACTGGCTAACCATGAATTTCTTTAACAGCTCAAGGTTTGGGCTTGGTAATGATAATGTCGGCCTTGTTGGTGGAGGTGGATGCTAGACTTTGCGCTCGGAGACCAAAGCTTACCAACTCATCATCTGCCCCATTGCGATAAGGCAGGCGATTTCGATGCCTAAAGCGGTGAGAATTTGTAATTACGATCATCCTCTGATACCATGCGACAACACAGGTGGACGGTATTATGAAGATATGGAGCTTTTTGGAACAAAATGGAGTCGTCACGTAAACTTGGGGGATCTTATTCAACGAAGCATGCAGGTGTACTGCTTCGAGTTGATGCAATCTTCCTAAGCGAAGCGCTGGATACCGTTCGTTCGATTCTTTTGCCATGTTGGGCACACTACTCTTCAAATATATTCCCTCTCTCACTCGACAAAACGAACACTACCAAAAATACTAGGCGTCAAAGTTCCTCAGCACCTAGTCCCAATCTTTCTCGGCAGCAAAAGTTCTCGCACGGCAACAGCACGGGCCAGATGCCTCGGTTGTCCTTCCCGTCGTACCTTACGCCTGCGCAGGGCATCACTTCCATGAGGACCTGGCCAGAATTTCTCCTGACTCGCAGCGAGCTCTATGGGTCCAAGCTGGCCGGACATCTGGACAATGATAGTAGGCTTTTGTGCTTTACGCAGGAGCAGCAGCGGTGTTTGGCGCAGCCTCGAAGGTATACTCTTTCTTTCTCCATAACCCGTTCTTTCCTGAGGCGCCCACTGGCTGGTGAACTTTGAGGGATGGGCGGGAATGCGTAAGAGGTGCTACGGCATTCAAGGGACAAGCGATGTTCAGAGCGTTCAACTTCCTGTACTATTGTTTCGTTTGTCATTGCGTTCAGAACCCCTCAATTAGTGCTCATATTACCCTGTCGACGAAGGAGCAGTCGGCCTCTGCTCATAGCGAATCTTTCATAAACCCTCGATGTTGTACAAAATTTCAAGAATGGTTCCAAAGCCTTTATACCATTTCGGCAAGTTCATTCACCACGTCATTTGGTTACCTCCACTGTACGATTCTGCTGACAGGACAGCGAGGCGGCTGACTCTTACCGCAGCCATATATACACAGAAGCCGTATGTGTGCTTACGCTGACAGCCCGCCTAAACAATTCGGCCCTCGGAACCAGCTCATCGGAGCCCCAGTGTGATGGGCGTATCACCATCAGATGTGATTTCCAGAAAGAGGCAGGAAACCCTCGAGCCATCCGAGACATGTACGGCTGCCAAGCCTCTCTAGCTTCTTGGGCATGACCGCTTTGGCAAAATACAAGCCAAGTAGGGAAGATGGGGAAAAAGTGGCGCGTAAGAGACGTCCCGAGAGTGTGATGCTCGTCCATAAACAGGACCCATGTCTTTCACCCATGGAATGTGTGAGCTGCTCGTAACAGAAAGAGGCGCCCACTGTGTGGTTTCCATTCCTTCCCCCACTCATTCAATGGCTAGCCAATGGATCTGTCGCAGATGGTTTGATGTCAATCGCCGACAGCAGCTCCAAGAGAAGCCAAACGCTTCTCTTTTCGATCAGGGATCAGCAGACGAAGTAGCTTCGCTGAAGGCACAGCGCAGCTCCGGCTGTGGTGTTTCAATTGTCAGATTGGGATGATTATTTTGATGATCAGGTATTCGTACTGGGGGCCTGATTTGATGTTATGGAAGCTTACGAGTCTTGGCTTTTGAAGGGTAAGAGTAGGGTACGGTATATGGGATAATGGGAGCTTGGGATCAGTAGTAAGGTACGGGTAGTATGAGGCTAACGAAAGAGGAAAGGTCTGCGTGTCAGGGTGATGGGGGTGTGGGATCATGGAGTGAAAGATTAGTGTAGAATTAACGAAGATCCTCGTGATAGGAAATCATACTTTAGAGTAAAGTACATGTAGGAAATCTTGTATCATGATTATCATTAGCGAAAATGATTGATGAAACCTGTAGGGCGGACGCGGCCAGGGGGCCAACCACTACCAGTTTATCACACCCTAAGGTACTAAGGTACTTTTCAAATTGAGCCACCCAAACTTGATCCCTGTTTCCTCGTGTCCTTTGTAAAGGGTAAGTAAGTAATCCTTGCAAACCTCCAATCCCAGATCCCAGGATTTCCCTTTTCACATTCCACTTTTCATACTCTTCACCTTCACTGTTACCGAGTGACCGAGACCATGAAAGGCAGCAAACACGCTCCAGTAATAACAATTCTGACTCGTGATCTCATTATTCTTCTTCCCTCTGTTTGTTCAAATGATTAAATACCTAACTACTCGTAAAACACTACTCTCACATCGTTACTCTTCTGCTACATGCACTACTACTCTTAGTACACACCAGTTTTGATGCGACCTTGCCTTGAACCAACCCACAACAACCAACGTCTCACTCTTCCCCTCCTCATCACCCCCCCCCGGAAAATCATTCAATTCAATCGCTTTGCCGCACACACCGACCGAATCCTCCAAAATTCTCACCTTGCCGAGACTTTTGACGTTCCTGCGTACCTGATCAACACGCTGCTGAAACGCGACCCCATATAGCCAACGCACTTCGTTTCGAGCTATTTACAAGTGCCTTCGTGGTGTATTGCGCACGCTCCCGTTCACAAGTTATGTCGACCTCTGCGCAAGACGAATTCAACGCTCTCTACAACAACAATCAGGGTCAAAAGCTCAGCGGCCATCCGGACGATAGATCGGAATCTTCAGACAACGACAGCACCACTCTGAATTCTGGTAACGACGACGAGCAGACCTTGGCCTCCAATACCTCTGCCGAAATGCCTGCGGCCGCTACCTATCTCCCCACCACCACCCAATTCGACGCCAACACTGGACCAAAAGGAGTCATAGCTGATGCTCGCTCCTTCGAGACCGCCAAGAAACGAAGCTTCCGACAGACAATCTATGCATTCTCCAGCGATATCGTAAACAACAAGAAGATCAACTTCACGCACGAGAAGAGCAAGAGCCCTAGTCCTGACCTCTCCGAAAATGACGAAGAAGACGACTTCATGCGAACGTGGCGGGAAAAGAGATTGGGTGAGCTGGCAAGCGGTAATCAGGGGATCCGGACAAGACGGCAAAGTCCTAGTCAGCGAAGATACGGCTCACTGGTCACTGTCGACCCTATTGGATACCTTGATGCTATAGAGAAAGTGGCCACTTACACCACCGTTGTGGTTTTCATCTATGACGATGAGGTATGGTCTTTGCCATGAGAATACTGAGCCACGGCTAATCTTTTGCTATCTCTAGTCGTCCCTGAGTGGCAAAGTGGAAGATGCCTTGAAAGACATTGCCCGGAGACATGCGACCACACGCTTCGTCAAGATGCATTTCCTGGATGCCGAGATGGAAGAAATTGCTGCGCCAGGGATCCTTGCATATAAAGGCGGCGATTGCTTTGCGAATCTGGTGTCGCTGATGAGTGAAATGCCCGCTGGCCGGGATATCAACTCTACGACCCTAGAGGGGGTTCTGCAAGAGCAAGTCCAGACCTCGAATACTCTTCACTGCTCGTATCTGCTAATCTCGAACTAGGCACAAGGTCCTGCTTTGATATCTTGCAACGTCGTCTCTGTACAGTCAACTGTTATCGTCCTCCAGGCCTGCGGCATTTTTCGGAGTACTTGGAAGGGCAAATCTTAGAGATCGTGCGATGATACCACTATGTCTTGGCTTCCTTCTCGTCTGCATAGCATGGAGCCCGGAGTCCAATCGACTTGTATACTACTTGGCGTTGCTGAATATACTCCCGGGGTCTACATATGGGAAGAGCCTACTGTCGATACTATCTACAAAGAATTTTTATGCTGTCCATGTTTATCCTCTTACAATTAAACCGCCCTATTTCTTCGAATTGAAAACCTCATACTAGATTTATGTGTTCTCGCACGGATATTGCACGAAATCGAATGTCTGTGTGATCATTGACTACAGCAGGAGTGACCGCTGGTCAAAGTTCATAGTCAACAACTTCGTTTTGTACTCTACAAGGAGATAGAACCGAAAAAGATGCTCTCCGACGTCCCCCTACCGATTCGGGATACCAGATGAGCCTGGCGTAGGTTGTTCAACGAATATCTCTTGTTTTGCCATCTATTATATGGGAGTATCAAAGCATGCTACACACCTTTGCCCCAGGTCAGATATCATTTAAGAAATATGGGAGCGATGTCTATGGCAGGTATTAGACTCATGCAATACGGTGACCAGAAAGAACCTCTCTCTTTTCAATGCTTCTCGAATCCGAAGTAAATAGACGCGATTGTTTCGCGTGCACGTGAATAGGCGTCCAATTTGAGATGGTCTGAACGCCGTTTTACGAAGGCCTTTACACTTGCTAAACGATCAATACCTCAAACTAAGGTATTGTTCGGTAATCTTTGAACCATTCGAGAGCGCTGCCAAGACTGTTGCCTTATCGATAAGATGTCTATTTTTACCATACGTGCTCTCTAAGTAAATAACTATAATGCGTAGAAATCTAATGCTATATGATATGTACTTAAAGGCGAGTAGAAAATGACAAGAATATAAAAAATCCTAAGACTTTGCAGAATCTCTCCCCAACAGGCTGGTAAATTGTTAGGGTTAATGTAATGATTCAATATCGGTATCGATATACCAATACACACTTCCACAACACATTGATTGCATTCTGAGGTCTAATGAAACAGCTTCCTGCTCTAGGACGAGGTAATACCAACGTGAATACATCGCCCACGAGCGCGCAAAGCTAAATTTACACTTTAAAGTGTGAAACATTACTCCCAGCAGCATCTTCCTCCGAACAGTACGCCTTAAATCGAGGACCTTTCTGGTCACGCGACACTGCCTTAACTGAGCCCCAGTCAGTGAACAACCGCTCAGAAATGGCACTACAAGCACGAGAAATATCTTAAGCATACTCATCCTAAGCACTTGAGAGACGTAGGATATCCTCTCGGTGAATGTTGACTACGATGCCTACTTCTGGCAGCAGCCATCTTGATGGTCATGCTCAAGATGCCGATTCTCAGACTCCCCTGCTCAAAAAGTCGCTCAATAAGTCTGCTACTGTGTCCAAAAAAGTGATTTTGCTTTTCCAGAATTGGTGGCTGTGGGAGATTTTATCTGCTATCACTGCTGTTCTAGCAATCATTGTGATTATTGTTATTCTTGTCGTTTTTAATCAAAGTTCTCTTCCCGATTGGCCCTCCGTATTTACTGTGCGATCTATCTGCTACCTGAATTCCAACATAATGCTGAAGACTTGCGTAGATAAACTCAGTCATCTCCTTCTTTGCCACAATAGCTAAGCTTTCCATTACGTCGGCTGTTGGAGCCTCGATCTCGCAATCGAAATGGTTATGGTACCGCCAGGATGAGCCTCGCCCTCTCAAAGACCTCCAGCTTTTCGACGATGCCAGTCGGGGCCCATGGGGAGCAGTGAGCTTGTTGATGAACATCAAAGCAAGGTAGGCGTGCATAAATCATGCTTCCATTGACAAGCTGATCGCAACTACAGACATCTGACTTTCGTTGGCTCAATCATCATTGCCATGATGCTACTCTTCGATCCGTTTTTGCAGCAAGTCGTGGTCTATCCGGACAGGCTTGTAGCATCCGATAAAGTTGCCACTATTGTCAGAGCTCAGAGGTATCAAGCTCGTAGTTATGAAGGCCTGCCCTTACCTTCGATAGTCGATATCTCCATGAAGGTGATCTCAGAAGCGAGATCACGTTGATCATAAAAATACTAATTTTCCAACCAGGCAGCCATCTACAGTGGAGTATTTGACGTTGACGATCGAGCAGATGTGAAGGTGGATCATCACTGTTCTACCGGCAAGTAAGTAATGAAACAGTCGACATTCAGAGCATCTCTCAACTTCTATAGCTGCACTTGGAACAGTTTCTCTTCATTGGCCATTTGTAGCAAATGTCTCAATGTCACCTCTTCCGTTGAGAAGAGGTGCAACGATAGTGGATGCTACGAATTATTCCTGCCCGGTGGACCTTCGCTCTCAGGCTTTGGAGGACAGATCAACTCAAGCATTAGCCAGGTTTCGACAGATCTCGATGACATCGAGGCATCTGTGGTCAGATTCTCGTCTTTGTTCTCCAAGAGGATGAATGATTCAGATGATGTCCAGGCGTGGGAATGTGCGCTATTGTACTGCGTCAATACGTACTTCGCGTCAGTCACCGATGGAGACATAGACCAAAGAATAGAGAAGACCTGGCGGAACAACTCTGCTTCTCATTCCCAGGGCTCCGATCTGATATACAATCCTCCACAGTCGATAATCAACATCACGGCCAACGCCTCTACTTTCAAGGTGGCTAGCGTCGCAGCAAACGCAATGAATAGCTTCATGTCCGAGACTTTCACTGGTAGTGGTGGGATAAATTCGTCAAGCTCGGGCTCTGCCTTCTCCTCGGACATCATTCATGCCCTTTACAATACCCGAAATTACTCGAAGACCATCGAGAACCTAGCGACCTCTATGACAAACAATATTCGCCAACAGAAGGACAGCGATTCGAGTACGTTCGAGGGCGTCGCATACAAGACAGAGACTTATGTACATGTCCGTTGGGCATGGTTCTTTTATCCAGCTACGGTGTTAGCGCTGTCGCTGCTATATTTGCTCGGCACGATAATCGAGTCGAGGAATCGCGATATCCTAATTTGGAAATCTTCGAATTTGGCCCTACTCTTGCATGGACAGGATTTGGAGCTGAGCAATAGTGATCGTGTCCCTGTAAACAGATTGAGCGAGATGAATGAAATGGCAAAAGACATCGAGATTGAGTTGATCCAAACGAGTGATGAAGACTGGAAATTGGTGCAGCGATGACTGGGATGGAAAGGCTGCATGGAGGATTGAGAAGCCTCATGGGTGATTCTTGGCTTATCGCATTTCAATGAACTTCAATTCATGTTTCGAACCCAGCCACTCTTCTGGCGTTGCTTTAGGCCTGCTGCTTGCTCTCATTTTTTGAATTAACGGTACATATATCGCATGCGTCCGCATTCATTCACTAGCTCGCACCCACTATCGCTGAGAAACGTGCGATTATTCGTCACTGCCTCCTAATGGGTAGACGACAAAGCTCTGCGTACCGGTCGTAGACATAGTTGAGGATGTTGTGCTTTACCCACCGTTTTGCGGTATTGACTCAAACCGGCCATAGGCGCACGGCGCCGTGCTTTAGGGTCCTGGGGTCGTTGCTAAGACAGATACAAGTCAAGAGCATCCAGCTCACGACAGTGAGTGTCTCGACTTGTGCCAGGAGTCCGGGGTCTCTCGTGTTAATGGGCCTTGTTCCAAGTCCTCCAACATAGAATATCCATTTGCTCAGAGCAAGGACTTGTTTGTGATAGGATAGAAAGAGGAAGATAGAAACAGAGTCGGATGTTTAAAAGCGTGAGCAGTCGTTGATCCATGTGCTTTCTTCTCTTCCTATCATTTCGGGTCCCTGCAAATAGTAATGAATGCCCCTGGAAAGAGATGTCAAATCGGCACCTCGCTGAGGGGTCACCCTTCCCTTACTTGCAGTGTGATCTCCAAGAGCGGTCGAAGCCTACCTACCTCTACTACTCAACGCGCTTCAGCATCATTCAGACATTGCTCTTGAATCAGCTATCCATCTTGCTGGTCAACAAAACAGCCAGCGGAAACTTACTCTCAGGCCCCAACAAGCTACCAAGTCACCCTTTGCTTGTTGAGGCCACCTGACGAAGATCGCTCTCAGGTCCGAATCAGTCTTCAATCATGACCGGCAGAATTTGACAATACGCCTGACATTTCACCCTTTGACGACACCGGTGCTGGAAAGACTTCCATTCAAGTCCACCTCTTGGTTCGGTTCCATATCAGCTCAACCACCAGATCGCCATAGCGGTGCCCGACTCAGTCGTGACCTTCCTCCATGGCTTTGCTTGATGTTTTCAATAGCTTGGAGTGTGGGCGGTAGTGGTGTCTTGTCTAATTTTGGTCATCACTGGTGCTGCCTACCGAACGAAGCAGTCTTTCCCAACCACCTCGCGTTCGAATCCGAGTGATGGATCCACTCTGGAAGGGATTTGGAAAAGTACCTCGTCGCCTTTGGGAAGAGACCAGGTATGTGTCTTGCAATCAAGTGAGTCTCCACTCGTATTGCTGGCCTATCAATACCATAGAGCTGATTGGATGCAACATATTTGGCTTACGCGGAGATTTACGTGACCCTAGCCACGATCTTCCGACGATTCGACCTCGAGCTGTACGAGACAACACGAGAGGATGTAGATCCTGCATTTCAGTTCATGGTCCCATCGCTCAGATTGGATTCAAAAGGCATGCGAGTTTTGACGAAAGTATAGTACCTTCGCGGAAAAACGATGACAACAATTCGTGCTGCCGAGGCGATCGAGCACTAGCGCTATCGTACTTTTAGTGGAAGATTACCTGCTCTACGTAAAGTACATGTAAGTGCTGAGTACTCGTCCATCCACGGTCCATGTCAAAAGCGCTCGGCTACTCCTTACAAGACTACTGATTTGACGTTGTGCTAACACTTTTCAAACGACACCGAATCAACACCGGAGTCAACACTTTGACACTCATTGTCTGCTTTATTTACGTTCGTTTATGCCTCCCGCATCATCATTACCACCACCGACTGACAACCCCGCATCATCAACTTTAACCCCACGCTCGAAGATTCGAGGTTTCACATACTTGCGAAGCCATACCCAATCCTCCTCCACCACCACCCTCCCATTCTCAAACACTACATAGACCCCTTCTCGCAGCCGCAGGAGCCGCCTCATCAGATCCATCACTTCTCCAGCCGATCCAGTGCCTGACTCTTCATCGCGTGCCATCAATCCCCTGTCAAACACAGTGCCGACCTCTGGCGAATTTGAGCGGAACCAAGGTAGACCTGGACCGGAGCAAGCTCTACATGCAGCTCCTTCAGATTTTGCCACTGGAGAACACTCAGAAGGCATGGCAAGGAATCGAGCAGGAAGTGCACCCAACGGCGCGCACAAGACCTCTGAGTCTGCTTCCTCTAGCCTAACAGGTCATCCCCAAGATCAAATGCCTACCATCAGACTCCTTCCACACCAAGACCCTCGCTCTAATAGACCATCTCTGTCATTTCCAGCTACCTCCAGGACTCTCCCACATGAAGATTGTGTGATTCGCGTTGGTCGATACTCGGAGCGTGACATCAATCCCAACCCCCCTCAGCATACGCCATCTTCTGCTCCTGTGGGGTTCAAATCAAAAGTGGTCAGTCGAAGACACTGCGAATTTTGGTGCTCTCAGGGACAATGGTACATCAAAGACGTCAAGAGTTCTTCTGGAACTTTCCTCAATCATATAAGACTTAGCCAGCCAAGTGCCGAGTCAAAACCATTCCCAGTCCACGATGGGGATGTAGTCCAACTGGGTATTGATTTCAGAGGTGGTGAAGAGATGATATTCAGATGCGTGAAGATACGGGTGGAGTGCAATCGGGCATGGCAAAAGACCATCAATAATTACAAGTTAGCGACTGGGCTGCACCAAATCTGAAAGATTGCGGGCTGACATTTACACAGTGTGAAGACGCATAAGCAACTCCGTGATTTGGGAAAGACAGCTACGAAGAAAGACTCTGACACAACATCTTCTCATTCTTCCGAGTGTTCAATATGCCTAATGTCAATAGCCGTAAGTCCGGACCCTGTCCTTCTTTTGCAGGCGCCGTTTGTGCTGAAATCTGCAAGCCATGCCAATCGCTCTTTGTTGCACCATGTTCGCACGTCTGGCATTACAAGTGCATTCGGCCAATACTCAATGATCATAAATCTTGGCCGCAATTCTTGTGCCCAAACTGCCGAGCGGTCACTGATTTGGAGGCTGATATTGAGGACCCAGAGGATGGGAATTGGGAAGATGCGAATGGTACGGAGTCGAGTCCTGAGATTGGCCCAACCCATGACACCAATGATATGATAGCGGAGCAGAGAGGAATGGCGATGGGTGGCGAAGATAACGGACTGTCCAATACGGCATCTAGACTTCTGACTGTAAGAGATGATAGCCACTCAACGCCTTCTGTGACGGCTTCATCGGATCCCACGAATGGCGCAAACACAGCTCCAGGCCTGCTCACTCGTCGTGGCGCTCGCCGAATCTCTCCTCCCTTTTCCTACGCTGGGGACCAATCAGCCTCCAAATCTACCCCGGGTGCAGTGCAGTTTTTACGGCCCATTACGCCCACTCAGCCCCTTTTAGGGACCGAGGATTTCAACGAATCTGCGTTACGAACGCCAACGACAGAAATGCTCATACACGATGGACCTATGACACCTACTAATAATGCAGGCCCTTTTGTTTTCGATGGTAGTGCAGGGAGAAGAGTGGATAACGGTCTGTTAGGACGAGCGGACCACATGTCATCAGATGCTTGAGATTGGACAGGATATCAATGGTCTGTGCTGTGGCTTGCAGGTTATCAAGAGTCAGAAAAGGGCATTCAGCGGGACCATCATTTCGGAATGGCTGCTTCCTTTTCAAAATTCAACCTTAGCCCTGAGCGCTCAGCATTATTGTGCAGATAATTACTTTCGGCAGTACAAACAGTTAGCTTCTCAGCTTTGTAACATACCACCTGACCATCATCAACAATCATGCTACTCCGTTCGTAGAACCTTCATCCTCTACCCCGCCATCATGCCCCCAACTATCGCCTCTCCGCTCCGCATGCTCCTCCTCTCCACACCGGAAACACCTCCTTCCTTTCTCAAAGGTAACAACATCACCTTCCCGCCTCATCCTGGTCATGTAAGCGTGTTCTGTACCTTCACTGATGCTACGCTCCGCCAGGTGTCTCCCATTACGAGATCCGGACGCCCTACTACAATGCCGCCATCCCCATCTGGCGGGACGAACTCCCCACTTCTTCACCCGAACTCGAGGCGTGGAAGGAAGAATGGCTGGGGCAAGAAGCGGGCGAAGTGGTACAAGCAGTAGGAGCATGGATTGTATGTTTCAGGAAGCCTAAGGAAAAGGCAGATCTGGTACGCCAAAGTCTGTCGTCCAAAGACCGTGTAGAAGGAGCTGATGGCGATGCGACTTCGGTAGGATACAACACGGAATCTACTAGCCACAATCCACGAGGTGGTGAGCAATCACACGAGCTCTGGCTATGGTACAAGTGAACCTCTGCTGCTGGCAGTGGGCACGCAGCAGACGATAAGTCCTGGTCTGGAGGTTACTAATGAGGAGTGGGAGAATCTTTGCATGGACTGTGGATCTTGGGAATGGATTGATGGGGAGCTGGATGGGAAAGTGGAATGGAAAGGAGAAGGCAAGAAGGAGAGAAACGAGTTTGGAGGTGAGTCTAGGATCTCGACCTAGCAGACAAAGAGGAATTGGTGCATCTGTGCTGATTCTGGCGCTTTGGAATAGAGAGAAGAGGTATCGAGCGACTGAAGGAAGCGCTCGAAGCATGCGAGTGGGAGGGTGTTGATGTGGACAACATATCTGACGACCTGGGATTGGAGAATGGCTTTAGCGCCGAGACAGCGGAAGTAGAGCGAGAAATGATGGAGTTGAAATTGACCGTGAATGGAGCAGAAGGATCCGATGAGGGTGCAGACGAGGGCGTAGAGGAGCTGGAGAACATGATGCTGAAAATGCAGGCGATCAAAGACATGGGTGCCGACATGCCCGAATCAGAGAGAAAAAAGTTCGCGGCGAAGGCCGTGAGAGATGTTATGAGGGCACTTTAGGTCCCGTATTTTCAGGATTGATCTTGTGCTCCTGGGTATCGAGTGTCGCCTTGATACATCTTGGCGCTTTTCTGAGCGTCCACGCCCCCTCCTGGAAGAGGAGTCGATGCCCAACCCTGCAATTTCATGACGGATCGCAAACGTTTTATGCCATTCTCCATGGGTATCGGATGACCTTCCTTCCTCATCTCGCAACCCCCTCTCAGCCACCTCTTGGACCCCTCTGGCCTCTTGCCCTATTGACAGTCGCCCTTCCTCTCGCCAACCCAACACCTCTCCCTCTCGTCCCTCTCGATCTGAACATGGGCGCATTCCTGCAATGTCATTAGCCTCCCTGCTTCGCTCATGACGAGCAGAAGTCATCGCAATAGCGCCGCAGAAAGTCCCTACCTCAACATATCCGGCACGATAAAAAATCTTACATGGCTTCCCCGTATGTACACCTGATCTAGATGGCTAACTCGACCGTCACGCGCGGTAACGGTGATGTCTTTGAGCTGCACGTTCATGTTGTCTTCGGCTGCGGGTGAGTTAGCAAAAAGGCCAGGTACTGTAGCAGGTTTGTCGGGCCTGTCTGGCGCCAAGAACATGAGTACCTTCGATGAGCTTGCCCCGGTAGACTTGGCCAGATGTGATCTCGAGGGTTATGACATGGTTCTGCGAAGGACCTGTTAGCTTGTATCCACCCTACAGTGGGATGGACTTAGGAATTACCTGAGCCTCATTGAGAAGCTTTATTGGTATACCGATTGTGCTGGTCATGATGACAGGCTACGCGTAAAGACACTGTTTGTATTGCGATTTGCGCGAAAGGAACAAATTTTTGGTGCCTGCTAATGGAAATAAAGCAGTAATGTGACTCGGGCATTTCCATTTCGATAAGGCTGATATTAGCGCCCTTTGCCGCCAAGCCTCGATTTTAGCCTCAAGTGTGAGACTCTGTCTTCTGCGCTCCCATTGAACTCCACGTCGCCCGAATGAATGTCTCGGCGACGCTCAGTGTTTTCAGCTTACTACGAAAACCCTCGCTATGTCTACCTCATGCTACTGTTCCTACCTTTGATCGCGTACCAATTTCTATAGCTACAGCTCTAACCGCCGCCAATGGAGGTCAGAGACCTGATATCAGAGCTATTGTACTTGACAAAGATAATTGTTTTGCCAAACCCAAAGAAAGTAGTATCCATAGCCCATACAAAGTACGTCTAATCAATTTCGCTCGTTTCCTCCCACAGTGTCAGTCGTTTCTTGAATTCCGTTCCGAAAGAAAAGCAAGACATGGCATTCTGAGATCAATAGAAACATTTTGAATCTCTTCGCAAGACATTCCCTGGCGCTCGTGTATTGATAGTCAGCAACTCGGCCGGCACACAAGATGACCCCGAGGGGAAAGAAGCCAAACTCCTGGAACAGGCCACGGGGGTCAATGTTTTTAAGCATTCGACAAAGAAGCCTGGATGTGGCCCTGATGTATTTAGGCACTTACAGAATATTCCAAAGATTCGGGTGGAACATCCAGGTCAGATTGCTGTAGTTGGAGATAGGCTCTTCACAGACATAATCATGGCAAGTACGATGGGCTCTTGGTCGATTTGGATCGAGGATGGCGTTGTAAAGAATAATGGGATTGTAAGTGAAAAAAGTCCTTAGAGCGGCTTGAGGTCCGGCGCTCACAATATTCTAGTTCTCGAGGATAGAGAAAGGGTTGCTGGGTTTTCTGATCCGACGCGGCTTCAAGGCTCAAATCCCAAAGAGTGATTGATTGATCGGCTTTAGAAAGTCATCTCGGTCACTATCTTGAGATTCCATTGCCGCACCGCAGTCAGATAGAAGATCTTAGGGCTAGGACTTGGTGGCAGCAGCATTCCTACTTAACTCAGGATCATCTCCTGGTGAGGAAGGGGCAACTAGAGCATGGATCGATTGACAGGGTGCGAAGAGGTGTTACACATTGGACCTCAGGCAAGTCTACAAATGGTCCAGTTGGATGTGTAGATGGCCTGATAGAATGCTGGCCTGACAATCGGTTGAAGGCCTGTGCCTAGAGCGAAGTCTGCAGCGCAAACATATGGCAGTAATGGAAAGTTCGAAGAACTTATCCTTGAAGCAAACCTCTACAAATTTGACCGTTTCCATTATTGGTGCATTATTGAATGATGATTGGCACAGACAGCAGACGGCATTCTAAAAGTCGTAGACTTTCTCCCCCACTGCGCCCGCTGCTTAGGGACTCAGGGACTTAGGGACTTAGGGCTTCCTTACTTGACTGTTCGTCAACGTTGAATGGCGTCAGCTGCTATGCGCCACCATGCGTATAGCAGCACATGACCATACTTTATGATTTTGTCGTTCGAGGTCGATTCGCTCTCCTGCAGGCTGCAGCTTTGCGGCCGACCGGCGCTTCTTAGACCTCCGAAACACGGCCTAAATTATGCTAAAAGGCTAAATTCTGTGCCTTGAAACCCCGTTCCTGAAAAATATCCTCGGCAAAACAGGTACGACACCCACTCCCCCGCATCAAGGTACTTACCACGTTTAACCGTACTTACCTTACGAAGATTTACCAAACCGTTGGTCTTTTTTAAACTTCAGCTGACGGCACAATGCGCGCGGGTCTTTGGGAGTTGGGAATTGGGAAATGGGAACAAGGAACAGGGAACGGCAACGTCTTCCAGTTCCAGAAAATGTTACTCTAATAATAGCAGGCTGTTGGGTAGGCGAGCCTCTTAATGTGATTCTCTTAAAGAGAGCTGGCGAGCTCATAATCTTCGACGGTAACGTGGTAATAATGGTCAAGGATGCTCCATTCCAACCTCCAACCTAGGTATCGCCCTACACGAGTTGTAAGGGGTGTGACGATACCTGCTTGGCACGGCGCAGTTTCTACTTCATGATGACAACTCAAAACGCTCCTAAGGATTGCGATGGCGCAGGGATCTCGCAGAATCATGCATGAATTTTGACACTTGCAGGTTCCACTGCGGGGGGCCTGGCGGTTATGAATTATGATCGAGGAAGCCTCACGGGTCTAAGAAACCCTCTTCACGGTGAAGAAGGATAATTCACAACATCTTGCTCCTTGGCTTGAGTCAGACGTAGGAAGTATTGTACGAGTAGTTTAATGGGTAGATAAGTTCCGGCGAACATTTCTTTCAGACCATCATTCAAATAAAGTGTCTTCATAGTTCATAGAAAAGTTGATCGAGCCTTGGCGTGAGGTTCGGAGGTTCGCTTGTGTTGCTCTGCGTTTCCGATTTTCAGGGGTTCGAATCTTACCGCCCCTCAGCAAAAGTAAACCTCCCATCTCTTCCCTTCGACCACATCCTCACCATCATATCGTCAGAGCCTCTACCTTGTCGTCGTCGGTCTTTGACGACGTTAACATTCCTTTTTCTTGTCTTGCTTTGTTGTTTCTGCCAATTGGACATCGCCACTCCTTTCGGGTCCAGGCTTATTCACTCCTTTAGCTGCCGTTCTTTCAACACCACAACTTGTTCAACCAACACCACCACCTTTTCCGCCACTGCCCATTCCGACACAACGTCTTCACTCCTCTGCTCTGGTCCAGCATCTACTTATTGGCACCGTTGGTAGAACGACTTGCCGCCCCATCCTGCTGATCGCAGTCTTACGTTCATTCGAATCCCTCCTTGTCGAACGCGACTTTGACGGCCCAGCGCTTCTCACTTCTACGTTTCCAATACTGCCCCCTCTAACGGCCTCGTAATAAGGTACCTTGCTATTTTACAAGTCGCTGTGAACATTTGAACCTGCAAAGGAATCGCCTGCGACCTCTTCTTCAAAGATGTCGGCGTCAACACCCTCGCCAACTGTCTCTGCCACTGCTGGGGCTCCTATATCTCGCCGACCACCTCGCAAGAGCACTCTCACCCAACAACAAAAAAACCAGAAACGGCAAAGAGCGACACAAGAGCAACTCCTGACACTCGAAGATGAATTCATCAGAAACCCCACACCTACGGCCACCGTCCGGGAACGTATCGCGCAAGATATCAGCATGACCGAGAGGTCTGTCCAGATATGGTTTCAGAATAGGTTGGTGCCGGGCATGGTGTCACAGATTTACAGCAGCTGATGAACCTGGCATAGGCGTGCCAAGATAAAGTTGCTTGCGAAGAAGAGCATTGAAACGGGAGAGGACTGCGATGCAATCCCTGAATCAATGCGCACCTATCTTGCCAACCAAGCCATGGAGTCCGGCAAACCTCTCGCAAGAGAGTTTCTCGGCCGCTCCCCAAACCATATGAGTGCTTACGGCAGCGGTGGAATGCTTCTGAACCCCGACTCCGCCCAAGCCGGTAAAATCGGTACGCAGACCAGCCCTGCTCTCCATATCTATATGACCACCTAATAGCATTGATAGTCATCCATCACTTCACCTGCAAATCCTTAAGTATAGGTAGTTGGCGTCGTGTAGGGCAAAACGCCATGGATCTTGTCGTCTTTTATGCCCCGGACAAAGCCTGCCTTACATATTACATCAACAATGAAGGAGCCGGCTACAAGATCGAATACCCCTTTGCTTACATCAAGAACATAAGTCTTGAATATGGTGACCCCGCAGAAGAGGCAAGTGGGATGCCAACCCGACCTCGCGGACTCTTGGTGGAATTGAATAGGCCTCCTAACTTTTTCATGGACTCAGCTGGTACCGGAGGCTTTCACCAATGTGGGGACTTTACGGAAGAGCAGCAAGCTTCGTTGATTATGGTGCATCACCTGGGTGGCCATCCCAAAGTCCTCACTGGACAATTGGCCAAATTGGTTTCGTTGGACTCTTTCCAAAACAGACACTGTCCATACGATCTACATACGATGGCAGCATCTGCCCCCGTTTCACCTATGATGGCTCCTCCTCGCCCATCATCACAGCCGACGGCTCAAATGGCACATCCACACCTCGCTATGTTTCAGGAGAATGGTTTCGGTATGCCACCACCAGGGCCACGAGGTCACAAGCGTACTCGAAGTCGATCTGTGCCTGTTGCTGTTGACTTCTCGATGATGCCCCCGATGCCGTCTTTCCATATTCAACGTCCTTCAACCAACATGACCGATGCAACTCTCTACGCACCCATCCCTCAACACCAGCATGATCTTAGTCCTCTTGGGCCAAATCTACGGATCGACACCTCCGCAGGCTATGGTCTTGACTACCGTCAGTACCCTTTGTCCGCGGCTACAACCGGCTCGCCGTCCGAGTATGCAAGTCCATCGTACTACTCATCTAGTACACACATGGACTCCGTACCTGCTTCTAGTTTCAACCCGTCATACAGCCTCCCTTTCCTTTCGCCTATGCATAGCGAGCACCCGAGCACCATTAATCCTTCGGTATCACCTTTGTCAGCCTACAGTCATGGCGACCCTGTCATTGCCGATGGATCACCCCCTCTAGCCCACATGCACCGAAGTACATCTGCTGATTTTCTGTCCATCTCACAAGATCATCATTCGGCAATGTCTGACGATGGGTATTCGCTCAGTGAGATGTACTCGAAGCAGAATCTGAATTTGCAGATGCACTCGCCGGGCGCGAAGATGGATGATTCTGACTTCGGCATGCAAATGCAAGAAGAGTCATCTAGTGAGGAGCTTGACATGCACAATATGGTTTCATTCAGTCACATGGACCATTCAAGTCTGAGTCCTGAGAGAACCGGATGATTATTCATAATCCCAAGTCCGAGCGACTGCCTTCTACGTGTGGAATTTCAAAGATAGCGTCGGATGGATGGTCTGTTAGGGGAGTTTCCGAGGATATACCAGGGGCGGGTACATACAGAGGTTGGGTGCAGCGGGGAGCATTCTGTTCGGACAGAAGGCGGAATATCAAATTCATTACAGAGATTGTCAGCGCCTAATAAGCTGCACCTGGATCTTTATGCCGGCGTCTTGGTACTACTGGCTCTTGTCAAATGTTTACATTTATGACGGTCGCCTGTTATTTCGTCCGGCGCGGGACGGCGGAGATGCAGCACTGTCGTTGAATTTTGTCTATCATGTAAAATAGCTTTCTTCCTCTCAGATAGGGATACACTCCGTTTGGATATGTGCAATGCAAATTATGACCCTATTGAACCCACATTTGACCGATGGAACCGCTCGCTGAGAGCCTGAGAGCCTAGATTACAGGCAAACATCACATGCACTACGTGAAAGATATCCAATCGTAATGGCTGTCTCTTCCCTCTTGCTCGTGAGCCAAGTCAGTAGTCCCTGTAGACACTAGACAGCTCGGCCGAGGTGCCAAGACCGAAGCCGAATGTGGAGGCATACTTTGAAGACGACGCCAAAGTTTTCCCAACCTTCCGCTTAAATCCTTCTTCCAACACTCTCGACCATTCGCGAAGACACGATCAATCGCTTCGCCTAGCTGATCTGGCGCAGCCTACAGTTACTAACGTATCAATGACCTTGCTACAAAGACTTGCGACTCTCGGCAGACTTGGCGAATAACGCAGTGGTGCCCGCGGGGAACACCTATGACTATATGAATGGCAATCGAAATAGATTCTATCAGTAGACCATCGAGATAGCCGCCAATGAGGGACCATGGTCGCTGATGAGCATGATGGGGCTGGCGAAGGAGGTGATCGTTCTGAAGGAGATTTGGCCGTTTCACAAGAAACAAATGGGCAGCACCCCAGTCTCGCAGGCCAACCATCTCTACAGGCTCCTCCCTCGACTACCACTTTAACTCTCTTCCCGTCAAGTGCCTCACATTCCCTGACGATCTCA